CTATGTATTGGTTGAGACTTTAAACAGAATAATTTGCCTATCGCCTTTATCATTTCACGATGATCGGTTCTGTTATTGCTGCACAAAGAAAGACAAAGAGGCCATTGTACCCGCCCTCCATCGTTTGTGTCGTGTGAAACTTTGATCTGTAAAAATTTAAGGAATGGTTCGACGCATTCAAGCCTGTTTTAATAAAAGTTTAAATCTACCTACGTTTTATTTAGATTTTTATTCACTATTGTTTCTGTAACAACTACGATTGCCACATTTCTCAAAACAAGTAAAGAAGTGACAGTGCGTAAGGGTTATGATACAGGAATATCCAAAATATACTTGTAAAACATGTAGCAATGTATTAGCTTCCAAATTCTTATATACTTCTCGTATTTATATGCGTGTTTATTTTCTTTATTATTTTCAAGAAATATCATTAACACGCGAGTAGGCATTAGTACAACTAACACAGTATTCGTCATTCGTGAGATTTGACAAACTCTTCAGAGTGAAGTTTGAAGGCCTATATCACGCGATCGCCAGCTGAGTTTCGTGAGATGAAAAGCCATGTTTTTTAGAGCAACTGCAGGATACCTTACCACTTTAGTCCACCTCATTTACTTGTGTCGGAAGGCTTTGAAGAACAAGGCATAACACAATGGACGCTTTTCTTATCCAGTGACATGTTATGTGCAAAATGGCTGGTACCTGTGAAATTCTTCATTACGGAGACAGTTTTCAAGTGAATGCATATTTAAAGTATCCAACACACGTGTTTGTCCAAATTTAGGATATTTGAAATGGAAAAAAAAATGAAAGGCAACTTCTGAGGTTATCCTAAGAATAAACTCCCTCTAAATTATAAAAGTTTTTGTTGTAATCTCCTCTTTTGCTCTAAATTCGATCAAATCGCAGAATGTTACAGGTAGAATAACTCCAAAGATAAATTTCGGGGTGAAGATGAAAAGCACTTCTTTGGCAACTTCGGATTCTTCAAAATCCCAGAGCAATGATGATGACTCGTCGCGGTAAACGAGAAATAAGCACAGTAGCAAGCCTATGACAATGAAAACACGTCTTTTTGTAATCAGTGGTTCCGCTTGGTCGCTTTTATCGCTTGGGCCATTTCTTGAAACAGTGATGAAGAACAACATCAAAGTCACAACGAACAGAACCTTTACAGATACTTCAGAGTAGTTCATTGGAGGTAAAATATTAAAACATAACAGAACAACTGATTCGATGAATCCCATGGAAAGTGTGGCATACAATTTAAATGAAGTATTTTGCTTGCGTGTGTCACACGGAAGAATTCGGCCAAAATACATGGTTAAAATCGCCATTAAATTGTACACATGTAGAAACATTGTAGAGAGTAAAACCAATTTGAGGATCTGACACGAATTTGAGCGTTGATCATCGATGTAGCAATCCATTACGGCTTGAACTGAGGCTGTAGCGAGAATGGTAAGCTGGCATATGCCTTGGATGATACACAACGCTCTGCTTTTTTTGAGAAACTTGGACATCATTTTGTTACGGTAGCAACACCACAGCATTTCCGAGTTAACTAAGAGAGCAGTGAGGTCCAGTAAAACTAAAAGAACAAATTTCAGACCCATGGCTGTACGCGAAATATTTTGTGATTATAACAGTGACCTTAGTACACTAAGAGGTTAAGTGCAGGGCTCTTGGCGGTTGACAGACTGTGAATTGAAGACGTCCAATTTATACTAACTAGCATGAAGGAGCAACATAACTAAATGTCAATCAATTTGTGCATTGTAATCACGAGACCGCCCTATGCAAAAGCAATCGTGCGTGGCAAAGGCTCTAATTGTATCCTCGTCTTTAAACAGAAAGTAATTAAATAATGTTTTTTTTTTCTTTTGTGAGTCTAAACAGGTGTTTAAATACACTGGTGCACAGGAAAAAGGCTTTGTAACCGTCTTGATCGAGCTTCTTTGGGTACTTAAAGAAAACCATGACAACGAGGGCAACCAGTACCGAGGTTGCGGGAAAAAAAAAGTAGAGAAGAGAAGCCAACGCTCTACTCGTGCGTCGTGCATCGTTGCGTCGTGCGTAATAGAAATTAGTGAACAATTTTCTAGATATATAGTATTCTTCTTTACTCTAGACTCTTCATATGTAGCCAAAGAAAATGGAAATAATGTATTTTGCAGGCTAGTCAGCCAAAACATGATAGCTTGGTTTTACAGGTTTGATTAATTGATATCTCTGCTTAAAATGATGGAAGTCTACTCAATAACATTACAAAATACTTGCACTAGATAAAACGCTATTACTTATAATCTAAGAGCCCCTCCTATCGTGAATTCGGCGTAAAAGAACAGGAATTCGGATTCCATTGTAACTGACTCTTGAAAGTAAATCCGTTCATTAGTGAAGAAAGTTATTGTTGTCAAAGTTGATACGGTACACGATCTTCCTGGAAATTATCCTTCCTACGTTTTGATGTCTTCTTGCCCTCATTTCGGCCTAATCCCGAGCCGAATTCATGACCAAGGAAAGTGTGACGAAATACTATTGGAAGTATACAGGCATAAATTACCGGGCTATATATATAACTGGAGAACATACGCACGCATTACATGAACTAATCTCAATGAGTGTGCTACTAATGATCTAATAATAATATGCGCATTTGGGGTTGTCAGTCATATTTTCGTGGCTTTCGAACATGTAACTGGTCGGTTTATCTTGGAGTAATATATAGATTTAGCCAAACCTAAAAGCGGAGCTCCCATTTATTTTCCCGCACGTCTCAAGGGCACAACGCGTTGCCCCGGCCAGGACTAGAACTTGGGTCGTCCGACTCGGAGCCCAGTGCACTAACCACTGAACAAAGCCGTGCCGTTGGCGTGCCCGCGGTACAGTTGACTATGCATGTTAAAAGTAGCACCTTGTATGGTCGTGCATCCAAATTTTTTCGGCTTCATGGGTTACTACTATTTTGTATAATTATGGGGCTACGCTCTGCGAGCTCCACTATTAAAATCATCAGTAAGCCTTTTCAATCCAAACACATCGTTACAGGAAGAACTCTTTTGTTTTCTATTTAAGCACCTTTTCCTTTCAAGATGGTTGTCCGTGTTAACTACTACCTTTTGTGTTCCGCACGATAGGCAATTTATTTGAAGAGCACAGAACTCGTTTAGTATGGAAGAGGTGGTACCTTAGGGTAAACCTTTTCTTCTCCAAATTTTCTGTTTTGTCGTTTTCTCTGTGAATCTCTTATTTAGTCACATTTTAATTTCGCGGGTTCGTTACAATTTTTATATTGTCAGTCTTGTTTTTTAAAAGAAAGTCACTTTGTAAAGAATCGATATTTCTGAGAAGGATACTTGAAATGCAAGATCTAGTTTACGTAATTCAGTGTGACTCGCTAGCTACGCCTGATTTTCATGGACGTTGGACAAGGATTGCTCAGTTAGTAACTGTAAACAACATTTTGTCATCAATCTAAGTTAGTCTTTGAAACCGCTGTTTACAGTCGAAGCTGCATTAAGCAGCCGGTTGTCAAAGTCCTGAATTTGTTTCCCATCAACCACTGTAATTTTCTTCCCTAATAAGCGGTCACCTCTGTCAACCTTTCAGCCCCTAAGAGTGTCTAACATCTGATTTCTCCCTACAATTCACCCCTCCCGTCACACATTAAGGTCACAAGAAGAAAGAAAACGATCACTAACTAATGAAGCTCTTGATGAGTAAACAAATTCTCCTTGTCTTCCTGGGAAATGTATATAGAACAGTATGGAGAATATGCATACTGGTGTTAGGGTGTAACGGGTTAAGTGGTCGTGGTCACCCTTAACTGAGTCCCAACGGCCTCTTCGTGTTGTGGTTTACCTGTATTGAACGGACAATTAGGGCAGAATTGCTCAAATAAAACGAAGACTAATCTTTCAAGTAAAAATTAATCCATGTTCGTCTCTCTACTAAAAGTAAGAAGTATTTTTGAGTGGGTTTTTGTACATTAAGTGGTCAATTGTGGCATTAAATGGTGTTTTTATCGTTTCTTAAATCACCCCTATTCTGTGGAGCCATTAAGCGATCAGTGGGTGACCGCTTTAATACTTGTTCGTCTCTTGTTATACTAACCTGATAATTATGCAGTAGTAAAGTGGCTTCGTGCCAGCTCAGGAATGGGTATTTTTGTCTCGGCGAAATAAAATCCAGGCCATAATTAAACCCGCGAAGAGTATACGTTCTCCTGTGTCGAACGCGGAAAAAGAAGTTGATAGGGATTAATAGTGTTATACCAAAAGAGTGTATGATGAAAGCCTTAACAAAAGGGAAGGTTGAGCAACCGGAAATGACGCGTGAATGGCGAAAGCTCGTCAATCCATAGTCACGGTATCAAAAGTAACGCAATCTTAAGATGCTCAACTGTCAAAGATTTTGGGGGTAAGTTTCTCAGAAAACTGTGGCGCTGCGTCGGTGGGAGAGTATGACACGGTAATTTAGTATTATCAACTGAGTTGATAACGTAAATTGGCCGCCGTAAAGAGTTAAAAAGCTGACGCTCGAAACGTCAGCTTTTAACTTTTTATAGTGGCCTATATACGTTATCAACTCAGTAGATAGTACTAAATAACCCTGTAGAAGATTTTGTTTGAAATAAAATTTCAACGATCTCCTAAAGAAACATGTACATTTTTTCATCTATTACCAATCAAGAAGCCCTAACTTTTGCTCTTCATACGCAGCGCATCTACATTCAATCGATGTCATCGTCCCAAAAGGGTAAATGTAAATGCGACCGTTTTCGTTTTCCGGTCAGGATTATATCTCTAGCTATTTTTAGCCCAAATGTTTGTCGAATCAGAAGCTTTGTTCCAATGTTAGATTGGTTATACTCATGGGTAAACGATGAACGATACCTTCTACCAATCGGAGGAAGGCATAAAACCCTAGGGATTTTCCTCAAGATCTAACGTAAGTGATACGTCAGTTTCCATTAATAACCACACCGCTATGAAAGAATAAATTTGAGGCTTAATGAACAGTGTTACTTATATGAAAAAGTCTTACGTTCGGCCTACAACGTTCATTAAGCAGTGCATCCTCAAGCAGAACTGCCTCTGTAAGGAGAGCCCTGTTGCTTTGATTGATAAAGGTAAGTTGACATCCATGCCATTGCGTCATCTGAAATATACAATAGCCAACTGTTTATAGAAAAAAAAATCGCAAGATTTCTTCAAGATTCAGTGGTTAGAGTCCGATGCTTATCTTTATTACGGCGATTATATTGAAAATTTATCGTCAATATTCAATAAACAATAATATTCTATACACTGTATATTATACATGCAATGGTTAAACGAGTGACTTTGCTGACTGGGAAATGACACAATAATCGTCAAGGTAAAGAGCATTACCAGGGAAGCCTGATGAAATGCTAAGGGTTAAACTTGAGGTGGACCGGTACTCCAGCCAGGGGGCGAGGAGTGGTACGTCTAGTCGCTTCACGCAAAGGAAACCGGGAGAAGCTCCGCTTTGCTCGAGTACAGACTTATCTACATAACTATGTGAGTCGAGAAGGTTGTTCGTTAGAGTTTTAAAAATATCACGTAGTCTTGAGTTTGCCGGTGTTCCTTAAACTAAATAATTCAAAAGGTTTTTTCTCTTTTTTCTAGAATGGAATAATCACTTGTGTTTTCTTTATCTGATTGTAAATTACGTTGAGTTCATCAATTAGAGCGTCAATGATATTTTCGACTTCAGTCTTCTATTCTTGCTATTAAACAAGATAACTTTTTGAGCCCCTCACAAGTAAAAAGTGAAGAAAATGGTACGTTTCCTTGATTGCTTTCTCAAAACAATGTTGCGCAATCTGATGGCGAGGAAAAAAACTAACTGAGATTTAGGGTGACTTTTATAAGGCTAACTGAGTGTGTGAAAGCAGAAAGGGAGAATTACGAATCAGATGTCTCTTTGTTGCACAGGTTGAAAAGCAGCAGCCCCCATGTCGCCCATAAGAAGAAAACTAATAGTTGTTGGAGATGGTGCATGTGGAAAAACAAGCCTCCTGTCTGTGTTCTCTACAGACAAGTTTCCCGAGTTTTACGTTCCAACCGTTTTCGAGACTGATGTCTCTGACATTGAGGTTAACGGCGAAATGGTAGAGTTAGCTTTATGGGATACCGCTGGACAAGAGGCTTATGACAGACTGCGACCTTTGTCTTATCCTGACACTGATGTGGTCTTGATGTGCTTCTCCATTGATAGTCCTGACAGCTTAGCAAACGTCCTCGAAAAATGGGCTCCTGAAGTAAGGCACTTCTGTGGCCAAAGGGTTCCTCTTATTTTAGTCGGTAACAAGATAGACTTGAGACACGATAAAAACGTAAAGAAAGATTTGTCCAAGTTCAAACAAGCGCCTTTAACTAGCGAAGAGGGACGAGCAATGTTTGAAAGGATCAAAGCTTATGCTTACAAGGAGTGTTCTGCAAAAACGAGAGAGGGAGTAAGAGATGTGTTTGAAACGGCCGCCAAGGCTACACTGAAAACTAAGTTATACAACCCTCCACCGTGGCTTAAGTGTGGTATACTATAACTAAATGTGAAATATCCGAAATATTTAAAACCTCCCTGAGCTTTGGGGCCCAAGGGCCAAGTTTAGTTTCAAAGACATAACGCGCTGAAACGTTTTAAAAACAAATGCATGGTTGTCATGTTTGTGTCTACAAGTAAACATAACGAGGAAAAAAATCTCTAATTTCCCGGTCATTTGATTCACACTATTTACATTTTTTCCACAATGGCTGTTTTGTGTCTGGTGAGGTCTATTAAAGAAACGTAATCTTTTAACTCCAAGCAATCTAATATTGGTAAACGACAAAAATTATATTTTGTTCGAAAAATTAACATAATATTGTTGGTAGCTTCTCTTGGCCAAATTCAAAGTCAATGAAAAGGATTTAAAATTCGTATTTTTAGACGTTTTTGTTGTCCTCGATAGGTTTGTTGACGACGGGTTTTTTTTTTCATCAAAGTTTACAAGATAAGATTCCTCGGGGGCAGAATAAGATTTTTTCATATAAGATATATATTTTTATTAGACAAAAGTGTAAATTTACTGATATTAATGTTAATAGAAATTGTAGAAAATAAACAGTCTTAATTCAATAACAATAATAATTTTTACTTTTTATAATAATATTCAGATGGGCATAACAACAATTCAAAATTGAATACATTCTTTATTCTACACCAGGGACACGGCCATGAGAAGGAAATTTCTGGGTGCCAGTCATCTTTAACTTCAAACTCTCCTAACTAATCTTTTAAGATATGTCTTGTGGCTTGAAGGGAGAATTACTTATGAGATCAAAGAAGTTAAAGAATCTGAGGCTTCTTGATGATTTTAGAATATACAACATCTCTTACGATCACGATTCTTCAAAAGAGCGGCTCTTGCAGCCGTTTCAAATACATCTCGAACTCCTTCCAAAGCTTTAGAAGAACATTCTAGGTAGACATGTCCCTTGATTTGTTCACACATCTCGCGCCCCTGTTCGCTTGTTACAGGAGATTGGTTTAAATTCGATAACATTTCTTCAATCCTTTGGTCATGTCTCAGATCTTTCTTGTTCCCAACCAAAATTATCGGTGCTTTAGGACAGTGCTGCCTCAATTCAGGTGTCCATTTTTTAGCGATACTCTCCAAACTCTCTGGTCGATCAATGGAAAAGCACATCACGATAACATCTGTGTTGGGATAAGCCAGAGGTCGAACGACGTCGAAATCATCTTCTCCCACAGTGTCGCAAAACTCAAGCTGGACTGTCGTGCCATCAACGTTGAGGTTAAAAACGTCATTTTCAACTGTTCGAGGTTTATACCCTTCGGGGAATTTCCCGGCAGAGAAGGTCATCAAAAGACACGTTTTCCCGCATAAACCGTCACCAACGATGACGAACTTTTTTCTAATTGCTGACATGATTAATCCGCGATCTGCAAATTAGAATGAGATAGAAAGTTCGGAACAGCCCCTCCAAACGAAAATTTGGGAAAGCTAAGCCCCCCGCCAATCCACTCCACACCCTTCGGCAAATATTCATTTTGATCGTTTTTTAGCGAAATCAAATGTGGTAAGAATTTTTTTCCATTTGAACAGCTCCGGTCCGTGTTCCAAAAGGAGACATTGAAGACTGAGTAGGGGCATGTACTTGGCTTAGCACACAGGATGAGCCCCCCCCCTACACTTCTAAGCGCTCCGCTGCTTCTCTGTCAACCCTTTAAATCCCATGAGTGACCAAGACAGATCTTCTCCTTACAATATTGATACGATATGATGCAGAAGAGTGATGAGAACAGAGGAAAATATCAATTACGAGATTATCAGTTGATCCAAAACCAAATTCTCGGAACTAACATCATAAGAATTGTATGGAAGTCAGTAAGGAGAATTACTAATGAGATCTTGGGATTAAAAGGGTTAAAATAATTAGTCTTCGAACTATCTCTCTATCAGAAGTAACCAAAAGCAAGTTTTTCCTCTCAATCATTAATAAAATCGATGACATGAAGTAATTGTGTCAATCAGAGAATAATGATTGATTCAAAAGCAAATTCTCAGAGCTAAAATTATAAGAACTACATGGCAGACAATGCAGAAGAATTGACATTTTGATCGTGTGAGAGATAAGGTCAAGGTGAGGTTTCCTACCATTTAAAACTGACTTATTATTTTGTCTTACAATATGATTTAGCGATCCGTTCGATACCTAGACAAGCACCCCCCCCCCTCCCTCCTTGATTGAAAAGAGAGACCTCTTGGAATTGATACACCTCCCATCCCATATAGCGTTCCATTATTCACACCATTCTCCTCTCTTCCATAAGGAGGTCCACTTGTCTGGTGACCCGGATTCAATGGTTGTGATGTTTCAGATGTAATTTTTGATCGAATGATTTGAAATCATTTGCGGGAGAAAACCCGTATATAACAAATCGTGATTCAAGCACAAAACTGTCAGCCGAAAAATAAATTCCCTGACTAATTTCCTTATTATAAGACTTCAATGTCAATATCGCGCTCGTTCTCATCGAACCATGCAATGTTGCGAAATCCACACTTGGTCAGATTCTGTCATTATCGACGTTATGATGACAGCGAAGCATAGCGACGTACTTTCTTACTTACCTTAAAACCACAGGCTCTAATATGAGGGAAAAAAAGCAGTGAACTGTAACTGAAAAACAATTGATTCTATCTAGAAGTTTCACAAGAGGAAATGATATCAAACGGAAATGACGCCACTCTTGTCACGCAAGTCGCTTGTCACTCATACCGGGAGAATGACATAAGAAAGTATTTTTTAAAACTATAAAATGTTGTTTCTCTCGAAAAGATTTGAAACGAGAATTTTTGATAACACAAGTGCTTGTTTTAAAAGCGCTGTTCATTGACCTAAGGGGGATCCAAAAGAACTAAGACCGAGAGCGATGGGAAACAGGTTTATGTCTGAGCCTGTCTTTAGATCAAGCATATCATATCATATCCTTCGACGTCAATTCCTAAGGACAAGCACTTGTAAAATCAGTCGCACTTTGAAAGAAAAAGTGGTTACAAAAACGCAAGAGATTTTCATCACTTCCTGACAAGACAAAACGACAGCATTTTTCTAAACATGCTATAACAAAAATAGATGCTCATATGTCTGACCAAAATTAAACACGATCCATTCGATTTTTTAAGTCCATGTAATATATAATTACTGTATCCTTCGAAAATGAAGGAAATTTTGACAATATGGCATAATTGGATATCGTAAGCTTAGTTTGCATAAATTAAAAACATGACTCATCGATGTTTCTGTTTATTCAAGCTTAGGCATTAAATTTAAAAGTAGATGAGGGGTTTTCAACCAATCAGAAGCCCGGATGGCATACTAGTGGTATATTCCCTGATGTCATATACAGTTTCCAATAATAACTCCTCCGCTTGAACAGAATAAATTCAGGACTCTGACAGTTATCTCTCATTCACGAGTTGGACTTCGCATTCAAATATTGGACATTTTACCTATTTCAGACTTGTTCACGCACGACCTCCTTAGAAGTGATTTTTATTAAGGTACGTATTGAGGAATGACTCAGAATGTACGATCAATTCCACAATTTACTTTTTCGCTAAATGAATATCTTTGTATAATACAAAAAACCATTAGAATTGTTGTGAAGTTAACGGGAATGATTATAAACAGCTGGTTCGTGCGTAAACTGTGCCTTTAGCGAGATTTGAAGCACTCGTGAAGTTTGAAGAGAGCATGCGATGACGCTCGGTTGCGCCGAGCAACTCTTATTTTTAGAGGGCCCTCCAAAGTATTTAAGTGCTTTATTTCACGAGTAACTCACAACTGAAACATAAAAACATTGTTTTATATCGTCTACAAAGTGGGAATTTTATGAGAAGGTTCCCACTGTTACGCTTCAATGCTCACTGACCGGCAAGCGTGAAGTAATTGGGCGAAGTAATTAAACGCGAAGCACGCTCGCACTGTTGAAACGAATTACAATAGATGCATGCAATATCATTATTTGAAAAAGTTACTGGCATTGTTTATACCTACGGTTTGATCTTTTAAGCGAAAAATAATGATCTCCAGAGTGCCTAAGTTCAAACTGTTTCCCTTCAAGACACGATCTCGCGTTTTTCCTCACCATTTAGAATAATGTTCAAACATTTGTATCTCAGTAAAAAATAAGAATTTTTCTTCAAAGTCATGGGCTATGTATGTTTGTTGAACTATCTTTAATATAAAGCCCACTAAATACTTCCTCCTTTTTGCTTTGTCAGACTGAGGATTCAGTAATGTCGTTATATGCCACGAGGAAAAAACTGGTCATTGTAGGCGATGGTGCCTGTGGGAAAACCTGCCTTCTGTTCGTATTTTCTAGAGATGAATTCCCCGAAACTCATGTGCCAACAGTTTTCGACACTTATGTAGCTGATATGGAAGTTGATGGAAAAATGATAGAGTTAGCACTTTGGGATACAGCTGGACAGGAAGATTATGACAGGCTTCGACCTCTGTCTTATCCCGACACTAATGTTGTCCTGATGTGCTTCTCTGTTGATAATCCCGACAGTTTTGAGAATATCCCTGAAAAATGGGCTCCTGAAGTAAGACATTTCTGCCCATCTGTACCGATCATTTTGGTAGCTAATAAGAAAGATTTGAGACACAACGAAAGTGTAAAGAAAGAGCTTGCGATTTATAAACGAGCGCCGATATCAAGCGAGGAAGGATCAGTTATGTGTGAAAGAATCAAAGCTCATGCTTACTTGGAATGTTCAGCCAGAACGAGAGAGGGAGTCCGAGATGTGTTTGAAACGGCTGCCAGGGCTGCGCTTAGATGGAAACCAGACAAGCCTCGTCGATCATGGCAAAAATGTCGTCTATTGTAAAAGTTTGGCCAGATGGGGTTTGCAGCAGTGTAGCGTGGAATGGAACTCGATATTCTTTCCGAGCTGAGAACCGTCAGTTAGAAATAATCAGAACAACTGATCATGGAAAAACAGTGACCTTTATGTTCTCCGTTATCATTTAACATTCGCGAAATTCTAAGGCTTCTGATTTAGATTCATAGTTTAACTCAACGCAGAGCGTAATCTAGAATAATTAAAATTAATTTATGAACATTTTGATGTTCTCATTTCAATTTGTAACTATTTTGACACGGCTTAACAGACAGCAGGTTTTTTTTCCTTTTTTTTTTTAAATGTTTTGGTAGTCTAGTCTATTCTTTTTCCAGTTACAAGGTAAGAGTCGCCACCCTAGACCCTGGAAAAAATCTCGGTATTCAATTTTAGGAATTAAAGGGCTTACAGGCAGAAGAAAATGTTCACGAAGTAATCAAAATCTTCGAAGGAATTTATGGAGGTCTATCTCCTTAGGTCAATTCAGGAAATACCGGTTCTTTAAATTGAGAGGACAAAAACGCAAACAGGGCATCTTCTCAAGGAGTTATATAATGCTTCAGATGATTTTTGCAAATTCAAATTGCCTGCACAACAGGCGTAATTTGTTCACGTTTCACAGGCGAACAAAGATAAGAGCGAGTCGCGAGTCTAACTCAGTCTGTCAAATTCGCTATTTGCAGTAAACCTTTGCTATCTCCACTCTTCAATATCCATGTCAAGTGAAGTCAATTTTATCTTTAACTCACACGAACTTTTGCTAGTAAGATAAATTATAATTGACACACATTGGTGTGAGAAAAAAAAGCACAATAACTAATTGAAATAGATGAAAAAAGGAAGAGAATAGTAAAGAATCGTAAAAAAACAATAGCACTATTGTTGTGTGTGTGTGTGGAGTTTGATACACCGGAAGAGTTCAAGATAAAAAGGAGTGGGTGCCGCAAAATAACTGATCAATACAAGGAAAATGAAAATGGAATAACTTACTTGTTAGATTAGTAATTTTACTTCATGCAATTGCTATCAAGACATGCTATAAACAGCTAAAAATTAATAACACTGTTCATCTCAGAGTCCTGTTTATTCTGATGAAAGCTACAGAAGGAAGTTATTATTTTGACAGTTGGCGAATTCAAAACGTGGGCTGTTTTGTTGATATTATTGTTCTGTTATGCTTTGTTCTTGCCTCGTCAAAAAGGCAATTTTTTGCTTCCCTGCCCGCAGTAAATTTCTTACGGATTTACTTCCAATATTTCAGCAATTAAAGACGGCCAAAAAAAAGGCCACCGAAATCACTGTGTGTTTCAACTGAGCTCTTCATTTCCATCGATTATCAAATGAGTTTTCTTGATAGAGCATCAAACTGCAAACTCCCAGCCAGTAACAAACGTCATTTTGTAGAGATTTTTTGCATGCACTTTTAAAGCCGAATCCCAAAAGCTGAGCTACAGCGGGTATTTTTTCTCCGCCGAGGCAATCAAGTCCATAAATATTTACGATCCCACAATCCCCCGACGCACGTACAGAACGAGGAAGCGGAAATGACGTCAGCTGAATTAAGTTCCGCAAAACGATTTTGACGCGATACGAACGCCGGCCAAATCAAACATTATTTCGTTATTGGTTTCTACTCAAGCCAACTAAAGGCCAAAAGGATACAACGCAAGGACTTTTCCTGATGTTTTCATCAGTGGCCAATAATTACTGCTCTGCCCTGATACAGTAGTATAAGATGAAGGCACCTAAAAGTTTACCATAATCGTCAGTGGCTTATCCTGAGGTCTGGGAATTTTGGCTCACTCGACGAACTGTATTTGATAAGAAGAGGTCATCAAGAAGTAATATTTCTTTAAGGTAAGCGGAAAATTTGATCGCCAACATTTAATTCTACATACATTTATTGATAATTGTTAAAATCTGCGCAGATGTCCATAAACAAATCTATGAATTCGTTAGATAATCTCTTGCGTCGATGTTTAGCGTGTCACGCAAAGCTTTGCGTGACTCAAACAACGGGATGAGGTGGTAGGGAGAATTATGTAAAGGTAAATGGGGGGGAGAAGGTTTATTCTTTCACCTCCCCTCTTATTTATTTATTCGCTCTGAAATTTGAGTATGGTGATGAACTTCTCTAGCAAAGGGTTTCGTGTGAAATTTACTCTCTGCTTTATTTTGCAGGTTTAATTGAGAAATTCACTGATCATGTCATATATCTGTAAAAAATTGATAATTGTAGGTGATAGTGGCTGTGGAAAAACTTCTCTTTTGACGTCGTTCGCTTGCAAAAAGTTCCCCGAAGAATTTGTGCCGACACTTTTTGACGGTGGATATCGGGCTGAGATTACAGTTGATGGAGATACGGTTGGGCTGGCATTTTGGGATACAGTAGGAAAAGAAGGGGAATACGATAGGCTGCGACCTCTGTCTTATACCGACGCTGATGTTATTTTGATGTGTTTCTCCATTGATAGTCCTGATAGTTTAAAGAATGTCCCTGAAAAATGGACTCCTGAAGTAAGGCACTTCTGCCCCAATGTACCTATCATTTTGGTTGGCAACAAGAAAGATTTGAGAAACGACAGAAATGTGATAAACGAGCTATGGAAACTGAAGCAAGCGCCTGTTACCAGCAAGGAAGGATTTAAGATGTGTCGAAAGATCAAAGGTCTTTTATATCTAGAATGTTCTGCTAAAGCAATGGAAGGAGTTAGAGATGTATTTGAAACGGCTGCTAAGGTCTCGCTGAAAACAACGTGTCGTTGCCGTAGATATAAATGTGGAATTCTGTAACTAGTTATTGCTTTTCTAGATCAATGCCAGGAGCTCAGCGATTACGCACCTACCCCTCCCCTAGCCCAACATTGACCCTAACTTGTTATCAGTTGACTGTTATGAGTTAGGAGAGAGGTAGGTGTGTAGTTGATCAGACACCGACATTGATCCACCTCGATCGGTTGGCAGAGGCGGATCCACGAATTTTGGACAGAGAGGTGGGTGTTCAAACTCTGTTTCAGAGAACGCAAAAATGTTTTTCATACAAGAGCTTAAGAACGTATAGAAATGCCCGGTATTTCAAGACAAGTAGATTCTAAATACTTCACATTGAGTAATAACATGCAATCCTATCGATGCAAGAGTTGAGGGTGTCATTCAAGAGGTAAAAAATACTCACAGGTGTGATGCAAGGAGTATTAAACTGGTGAATTCGCCCCATCAAAACTTCGCCCTCATCCACCATTATTTGTGAGTTCGCTCCCTGTTGCATGTTGGTCGCAAAAATATCATGTTTTCGAGTGGAAATTTATAAGTTTTGTGATATGGGAACGAGTCGAAAGATTTGGGGGCGAACTGTTTAAGGTGGGAGCGAATTTGTCATTACGTTAGAGGCGAACTCGCAAAGGTGATAGTGGGCGAACTTCCAAGAGGGCGAAGTCATTATAAACCGTAAGAGCTTACCCGCAGGCTAAAGGAGAAGTTCGAAGTGTCGTGTTAAGCTTTGGCTTTCAGTTTTGCTCTAAATAACCTCTACATCGTATTACTTTTAAGCGACAATGGTCATATACAGACATCTGTCGCTCAGAGCGATTACCCTAAGCTACTTAAGCTTTAGGCCCTCAGCCACAAAAAAAATTAAGAGCTTTAAAAGAAATACGATACTTCAGGCTGCCGGCTGTAACATCATGGAAGACCCGTGACTTTTTAAACTGAGGTACCATTCGCCAATTGCATGTTTACTAACCGAATATTTCCTAAATTGTTCAAAGAAATTATTCTGAAATGTTAACGACAAGAATTACAGTAATAAGCTCCAAATGTTTATCTTACTCTTGTAATCCATAATAAATTTATTATTTTCTTACTGATGAATAAAAAAAATTTCGTTATCTGTTTGGTCACGCAAAGATAAATTTTTTTCAAAAAAAATTTTCTCGACACTACCTAAATTATTCATCACGGTACAATAATCTGCATTCTATGTGATGAAGATTGCAGAGTTATCGTCTAATAATGATATTAATACCAAGAATGATAGTAATAACGATGAAATGATTACGAAAGTTGACGATTTTGGGCGGGTCTACCTAATCCTCTGACCCTCATCCTCCTGATTAAAATTCCTGGTTTTCATGTAAATTAAGCCTCGCAAAAAATACTTTTTATTCTTTTGCTCAAGTAGGAGGCGTTTTAGTGTCTTTTTACCAGACAGCCGCTGTAATATTTGTCTGGACGCGTACAAAGATTACGCCTGTTGTGAGGGTTAAATAAAACTTCAACCTCGTGTTGATGGAACCATCGCTGAACTGTCAGTTGCTACTATGACTTACGCTACCAGAGGGTTTGCGTAACGCTGTATCATGAAGGACATGAAAGGAAACAGTTTATCAGGGCAAAAATGAAGAAAGCGTTGATAATTTTTTTTGGGTTGATACTTAGCCTGGCCCAAATACTGAAAACTTCAAACTTTTTGAAGTCAAGTGAGGGTTATAGCCTATAGCGTGTCATATCACAACAGGGGCGGTTTCAAATCGGGGCGTACTTGTTTCCGATATAAATATATATCTCTCTCAGAAAATTCTAGAATGAACAGAAGGAAAGACCTATATCTGTTCCCGTCTCAAAAATGTCTGAGTTTAGTTCGGAATCGCAACGTACTTATCGTATTAGGCACTTTTTTGTCTCTATGTTTCCGATTACATGTTCTCGAACAGTTCTTGTCACGGGAAGTCTTAGTCGAATGTCACGCATCGCTTATTTACTGCACAGAACCGAAATACACTATTGATACAATCAAAACTGGATTACATTAGCTCATGTTTTGCCTATTGGCATTAATAGAGAAAAAATCAATCTTGAAAAATAGAAAAAAGAAACTTTACGCGAACCAGCATCCCCTTGAAGGATCACGAAGATCTAAAGTCTATTTTTGGAAAACACGTGTGATCGACGTGTAAACTGAGGTCAGCGGTAAGAATAGCAGAACCCCCCCCGACTACACTGTAGCAGAAGAACGGGTTGTCGCTCGTTGATCCTTCGTTCCAGTCACTGTTGGGAGTATTCTAAACCCACGATAAGGAACAGTGTTCTTTACATTTGAAAGGTAGGTTATTAAACACAATTACATCTAAAAGAAAGCTTAGAATCGTAGATCAGGGTCTCATTGCCAAATATGCAACGTGAATCAAACTTGAAAATGGCGGCCATTTCGTTAAAAGTATTTTTTGGGTCACAGAAGCGCTCATCTGAATTTGTTGTGCGAGTATTTTAGTGTTTGTCCGCCGCTCATTCCGTCAATCAGACCTTCATTTTTCAAATGGTGTTATGTAATTTATTGGATTCGTTATACCAATTTGAAGAGATTCCAATATCATGTCCTCTTCATTTCTTTCCTTTCACTCTCAACTCGCTGGTTCCATCTGATTGGCTAAACTTAAGGAGAGTTTAAAAGTCTGGTAGTCGAGCATCTTGGTTGGTAAAATGTTTTTGAAAGATTCAATGAAGTTTTCTGTGAATGTGAATAAAGAAAAATTTTCAGATGACCTTTCGACACCCAGCTGATTTACACCAGACCAACTGAACTCAAACAAGAGACTTGGGATGGTGATGTCAACACTAACATTGCTGAAAATAGTAAAATTATCAACTTTTTCTAAGAGAATTCCAAAAACTGTGGTAATGTTAGTCACTGCTACTGAAAAAAGCAGTTTTTGGGACTACTCT